TCTATCTATCTTTCTATCTCTCCATCTATATTTCTATATATCCATCTCTTTCTCCATTTCTCTATCTATATGCACACAAAGCACTTTCATTTCGCATATGTACTAACCGATTTGTTGTTTTGTTTGTCTTTAGCTCTGGCAAATTGTTGACAGCACACACTCGTTTTCACACTCCATAACATTAGCGAGTTGGTTAAACAACAACAACAACAAGAAGCGCAGCTATAGAAAGAGCTGCAAATCAGGCGATTCATTAAAACAACTTAACAAATCAACAGGCGGACAAACACAACTGCGGTGGACTGCAACATGGAGACCTATTTGACCGAGATCAAACAATTGCGCATACCACGCCCGAAATTCGAGCCCAATAGCTGCCATCAGCAGCACCAGCAGGCGACCGCGACAACTGTGACACCGCCCCCTCATCATCAGGCCCATCATCCGCACCACGCCCACCATCAGTGGCGACACTTTGTGCGCCCCTTTACGCCGCCACGCGACTATCATTTGCCAGTTGTGGGTGGGGACAGCGCCACGCACGATACAATGTAGAGAGAGGAGTAGAGGAGAGAGTGAGGGGGAAGAAGGGGTCTGCGGTCTGTTTGAGCTCAATTGGATTGCATTGGCGTATTGATTACACTGCTTATACGTAGAGATACATGCTATATAGACTATATATAAATATATAGATGAACATAATCCATCAAGAGTTGAAGGCTCTTAGTGCTTAAGTTTAGTGTTTTAGCTATAGATATTAAATTAGTTGATAATAAAGTAACAAAGCTGAAGTGTTTTAGCTCTGAAATGTTAGTTGGATGGTAAGTATATCTGTAGATGTATATGCTGAAAGAGATGATAATGAACGAAATGAAATGATATGTGTAGCTGCTAAGCACCGAGAGACAGAGACAGACAGAGAGAGACGGAGAGAGTGAGCCCCTTTACCTGCCGGAAGAAAACTCTATGTCTTACTCACCGCATCTTGATCATATTCCGGTAATAGGGTTTCGCTGCCCCGTCGAGTTCTATGCTCATCACAGCCGTATTCCTAAGCCAAACAGAAGAAGAAGAAGCGGAAAATCAATTTTTTGGTTTCTTGTTCGTTTTGGTAAGCCAAGTTTTCTTAGCTTGATAAACAGTTAAAAGCCAATTAATCTACTACACTTAGCAGCCAATTAGACAACAGTTAAAAACGAAAATAGTTCGAGAACAAAACAAAATAGACAGAGAAAGAGAGAGAACATTAAACAATGGGACATTTAGACATACACGAAAAAACATTAAGAATAGTAAATTG